CTTAATCTGGGTTTATAATCTGTTAAATTATAAATTTAAGATTTTCATGCCAAAATCTCACATGCAATAAATACAACATATTACCAACTATCAATCCAAGTTCCTTAGATCTAAACTTGTTTCTAGTTACCCAGAAACAAAAACGTTACCTATAAAAAAATTTCCTAGAATTACACATGCATTTGGATAAAGATATCTAAATCAAATGCTGTGTAAGCGTTTGGAAGGACCGCTGTTAACCAAGCATATCTATTTGAATGTACATAAGCCTATGCCACCAATATTGAAGGAAAACTGAGCCATACCAAGCTGTGAGGTATGAGAAGTTAATGCCTGCTATTTTATGAGCAAAGATTTCAGATCCAATTGTCATGTGTGGCATACAAAAAACTGGTGCACAGATGTACTGTAATAAGACATGTTGATATCTAAACTAGTAGCACACGAGGAACAACTGCAAAACCTATTCTTCTCATCACACATCCACATGGATCAGTTCCTAACCAAAACAAGAACAAATTCCATTTAACCACATTCAACGAAGAAGTCATTACCAAATCCTTGATTAGTTGAAAAATCAATCAACATCAGCACTTTAGGTTAAGTGGAGAGAAAAATAAATTGGGTTTCCTGTTAACTACCTAGAAAGGGGAGAGAACAGAAGAGATTTACTAGATTAGTTCCAGGATGACAGACTACAGCTGGTCAGTCACATAGCTGGGTAGGTCAAACTTCTGCCTTTGACTGGGACTTGGGCATGGAAGGGAAAATAATTATTTCCTACTTGTACAATGCAAACTGAAGTTTATGCCTTTATACCTCCAACAACATCACAGACTGCACATCCACCATGCTTAATGCCAAAACTTAAATTGGAAGTCTTATCTCAAAATGCCACCATCATTCATCTTATCAAAACAGGAACTTCATTGGAAAGAAGGATATTACAAGGTGCAACACAAGTCACAAGTGAACAATTCAAATCAAATATCAACCTCAACAGGTTTCATTCACGTTATAAGCAGAAAATTTGGTACCAAGTGTCAGAACTAATTGAAAAACAAAAATCTAGCAGATCAGAGAAGAACACCCTCCCGTTTTCGGAAAATGCATTGCCCAGCTATGATACCAAAGAATACTGATACTAACATGAAAGGAAATGAAACTTCACATGAAATTTCCACACATCCTTTCCTCAGATAAAGGAAGATTTTTTCAGAATTTGTAAAAGATGTTGCAGGTAGCTTCTTATTAAACATATGTTTTATAACTTTCATTTCAAAGAACATTTAAAGCAGGAACTTTTGGGTTTTGTGTATTAATTACACCCGTGTAACAAAATCTTGTCACAAAATTGTATTGGTTTCCAACCATTTCTAACATACCTAGATAGTCTGATTAATAATCTAAACAAAATGAGGCAAGAATAAGGACAGCCCACTCCATATAAATCAGATGCACAAACATAATAAAAAAAAAATCAAAAGAAAGGACAAAATAGTACTGAGCAATCTCGACTTTGAGGATCAAATTGCCAGCACCCGACCCCTGTCACTAGAGCTGAAAATAGTCCATAAGGTTAATCATCTCTTGCTTTAAAAGTAGCCTGCTCAAAAAATTCACATCATTCTGAACACAATTGCAGTTTTAGGAGACAGACATATTGAAGCATCAGCATTCTTAGTCAATGCAATTACTGAACAGGCCAAAATACTATTAACAGCAAGTTTAATTCATAAATGTAGTAAACAAAAACTGTGCCCTATGCAAACCTGTGTTTGATCACAGTTAGGATGAACTCTTGGCAACAAAGAGAAAGTAAACAGGCAGATGTTACACTAACTACTGGACACCTACACCATACATGACCAAAAGGAGAAAACTAAATTTTGAACCTTGATAAACACCAAAATTTAATTCCTTATTGGATTCTATTCATTGGAGCTGTCATTTACTAACAGAGCACAAAGTCCTTTTGACCAGGCATGCTGTCATTTTGCATAATTAAACATTACGGTTAATCTGCGGCTGAAGCTCGTAACAAAAGGAAGTGTCTTGAGAAAGTTTACATTCAGCTCCTTAACAACTCAACCAGTTGATCCAATATATAATGGGGCAATTCAGACTCAGAAATCCTGTTATGATTGCTCAGCTATTCTCAGCTGAGGTGGCAGCAGCACAAAGGAGACAGGAAAATTTTCCCTCGAGCTAGAGTGGAAATATTAACAAAATTTTGTTGATCATTACTCACTAATTCTTTCTAGAAGTGCAGGCAAGCTTGCTACATCCCTAGCAAATATCTTGTGGAAACCTTCGCCAGCTAGCAATACCGGCCTTTAGATTTATGCCCCTCATGGGGTTCTGGGGAACAGTGGTAGCATCCCTACCTCAGGGCCAGAAACTCCAGGTTCAAGTCCCACCTGTTACAGAGGTGTGTCACAACATGTTCAAACTAAAAACAACTTGAATTATGTTTCAGTAAAGATCTCAAAATATAACTACAGGATCAATACACAAGTCAAAATAACTAAAAACCACAGTAACTGCACAGAAATTTATAGAAATAGATGGTTAGAAATATCCTTTCCTCTTGTCCCTGCAGGGTATCACAGGATGTGTTTATGATACAAATGCTGTATGGTGAAAACTGTGCATCTTTATACTTCTAGAAAGTTCTATTATGGTTCCATCCTTTCTCCATTTGACATGATAGCTATTTTGACTTTATGTATTGACTGTTTAGTTACAGCACTTTGAGAATTATGCCACAGTAAAGAATCACAAAGTGAAACATGCAACATCTTTCACTCATATGGCATTTTTCATCATAAACATATCCATGATACTTTGTAGGGACATGCAGAAAGGTTATTCTTAACCATTATATCAATGTTAAAGCAACTTCAACCACATTTTGCACAAAGAATAATCAATACCTGAATTGCTCCACTGGGCAAGTAAGTAATGGAGTCAAAACAACAGATCATTCAATAGGACGTTCTGGAATCCCTGCCTAAACCTCTCCTCCTTTATGATGCTCCTTAAAACCTACCTCTTCAATTAAGATTTTGGTCATCTATGTACATCACAGCTTGGTGTCAGTATTTTTTTCTGCACAATATCTCTTGTGAAGCACCTTTGTCCTATGCTCCTTAAGATGGTCAATTGAAAATAATCAATCATTCAACCTTGGATTTAAAAATTTAATAAAAACTTGGAACAAACAATTTAGCTGCAATTACTGTTCAGAGAGAAGTATTCTAAACATCTGTCACACTTTTTGTGCAGAAGGTCTTCATAACTTTACTCCTGAAAGTCTCACTCTAATCTCTAGTCCTCTGGTGCTAGATTTCAATACATCTTCCCTCACAATTTTGAACCTTTGACCAAACTAGCCTTAATCTTCTAAATTCCAGGGGATTGCAATGCCATATTTTGTTGCAGTGTTGAAACGAACCAGAAAGAAGTTTAAAATCCCAAAAAAGCTATATTCTAAACACATGAAATTAACATCTGCAAGGCATTAAATTCAGTTCAAAGACACCCAAGGTTAGCACAATTATGTATTTAAAAGGGGTCCCACCAAAAGTATTTTTCTAATCATACTGAATTTAAAATTAGCAGTTATATATTCAGCTTGGTAATACTTTAGAATTTATTTCATTTCCAATCTCTTTTCACATCTGAATAAAGAGCCTCTGCATTATTGAAGCCTCTCTAGAGGCACTGAATACAGTAGGACACTGTACCAAATTACCTAGTAACTGCATCTAACTTGGCACATGAATCACTTAAAATGAAGCTGGCTGGAGTTTCTTTTTCTCCTGATTTCACACACTCCTCTTCAAAAATGCTTTGGTATAGAAATCTTTCCAGGGATTGCAGATTGTCAGTCATAGCGGGAACTCTCACACAATGCAACATTTCTCTCATTATGTTCCCTACCTCAAAATATATTTTTTGAATATAAGAATACTAAAAACACAGCAGCAATAAAACATACCAAAAATTCTGAAAGTTGAGATATGAAAGAATGATTCATTTTGAAAGTGAAAAACTTCCGAGTTTTATCTGTAGTGATAAGGATGAATGTTTTAAAAAAAAAATCACATTATGAAGAGGTTATAAATAAAACAATTCAGCACAAATAAGCAGTACAGGAAGCAGTGTAAAGGTAACACAGTAATGCTTTGGTCTCAGAAATTATCTAGGATCATCTGCATTCTTAAACAAAGATAATAATAGGAGCAGATTAGGGTCGTGGTGGCAGTATCTAGTGATGGTGTCCTGCCTTTGAGCCAGGAGGCCTGGGTTTAAGTCCTGTCTGCCCCAGAGGTGTGTATTTTAATCTCTGAACAGATGTAATTTTTAAAAAAATTACATGAGTTAGTGGGCATGGTAGCATACTGCCTACATTTCTGGACTAGTATCCCAGAGGCCTGGCTTAATGCTCTGGAGATAACAGCTCAAATCTCATTGTAATAGTTGGGGAATTTTAATTAAACAGAATACATCTGATTTCGAAAAGCTGATATCAGCAACAATAGCAGTAAAAATTATGAATTGTTATAAAAAGAATTAGCAGCAGTAATAGCCTGTTTGAGACTGTTCTGCCACTGAATAGGAACGTATTTAAAGATAAAACTGGGAGCGACTGAGATGTAGATATTTTTAAACAATCTGTTCAAGTGGGTTATGACATCCACTCCAAAGGAAGGCTCTCCCATAACAGCCTTTGCTGTTTTGATGTAGGTACTTTAATCAGAGATGTTAGGGGACACACCGCGGAGGCCAGCAGGACTCGAAGCCAGGTTTTCCTAGCCCCGAGATAGGAACACCACCGCTGCATTACACGGGACACCCCCTGACAGCATCCGCAGCAGTACAGCTCGCCAATACAACCAAACCTCAAGCAGTTGAGAACCACCTTCGTTACCCCTAACAACTGCAACCTCAGCCAATCATACCGACCAGCTCCATGTCAATCAGCCAAATCCACATCCGGTCATCAGGTTCGGTTGCGGCAGCGGGCAGCCATGGAGACGGCGCAATTCTTTAGCTGATCCGGTAAGCCCTTCCCTTGACCTACTTACCCAGAATATCAGGTTTAAAAACACCAGGACGGTCTTGGACGACGTTATTCCGCACTGACCCATTTCTGTCCGCAGAGGCGTACTGATCCGCCCTCGACAGCAAACACCGCTTATCCCGTGTATGAATCGCTTCAGGAGAGCGGCCTACACACCCTGAGCGACCAAACTGCCGCTGACAAGTGCGGACGATGGCAGCCGGAGCCGGGACCCAGCTGTCATGGGCACGTGACCTAAACGTCATCGAGGGATTACGTCAGTCACCCCGGCGGGCGAGAATTAACGTGCATGCGCTCTCCTTCGGTGAAGTGGTTGTCTGGCGCATGACCCTTTTTCAGAGACAAAAGTATGCTAAGTTGTGTGTTCTTTTATCAAGTTTTTCTGATGCCTTTTTATCTTTCTTGCCCCTTTCGTGTTGATCGTTTTGATGTGATCAGTGAATACGTTTTATTTCCGCACATAATGATCCACTAACTCATCTTTTGCACTATCTTGTTTGTAAGTTTTAAAATTGGCTTCTATTTGCAGTTGGCCTTGACCCAGCAGTATAACTGACCTGGTTCGTGAAATTAAATTAATGAATACAAATTATTTTTTTAAATGGTGCAAGTTCCAACACCACATTATGCTCCTGCCTTCTCTCTGGTTAGTGTTCACTACATGGTCTACAAAATACTTTAAAAGATGGCTTTACCTTCATTTTGTATATTCTTTTTCAATGGCAGAGCAAACTCAAAGGCTGAATGCCCTATTACTGCACCTAATTAATATGCTTGTTTCTTAGTAGAGTGCAGATGATCCCAGATAATGATTTCTGTAACCAAAAGCATTATTGCACCCCCTTTTGACTGCCTTCTTGCTTTCTGTGCGAAGCTGGGGATCAGTTTTGCAAAAGAGTGTAATACGATAAAGGCATGCTCAATTCATAAAACAATGATTAAAACTGTTCATGGTACTTAACCTGAGTAGTAGCAGTCTCGCCTCTAAATCAGAAGTTGAAGTTTCAAGTCTCACTAGAGATTTAATTATGTCCAGCTGTATTGATGCTGAGAGAGTTCTAACATAAGAGAGGGTCTATCTTTCAGAAAGGATTTTAAACTGAGGCCAGATAAGAACATAAGAAATAGGAGCAGGAGTAGGCCATTTGGCCCCTCAGGCCTGCTCTACCATTCAATAAAATCATGGGTGATCTTTTGGTGGACTCAGCTCCACTTACCTACCTGCTTACCATAACCTTTAATTCCTTTACTGTTCAAAAATCTATCTTTACATTATAAACATTCAATGAGGTAGCCTCAACTGCTTCACTGGGCAGGGAATTCCACAGATTCACAACCCTTTGGGTGAAAAAGTTCCTCCTCAATTCAGTCCTAAATCTGCTCCCCATTTATTTTGAGGTTGTGCCCCCTAGTTCTAGTTTCACCCGCCAGTGGAAACAACCTCCCTGCTTCTACCTTATCTATTCCCTTCATAATCTTATATGTTTCTGTAAGATCCCACCTCCTTCTTCTAAATTCCAATGAGTATGGTCCCAGTCTACTCAATCTCTCCTCATAAGCTAAATCTCTTAACTCCAGAATCAACCTAGTGAACCTCCTCTGCACCACCTCCAGTGCCAGCGCATTGTTTCTCAAGTAAGGAGACCAAAATTGTACACAGTACTCCAGGTGTGGCCTCACCAGCACCCTATACAGCTGCAGCGTAACCTCCCTGCTTTTAAACCCCATCCGTCTAGCAATGAAGGACAGTATTCTATTTGCCTTCCTAATTAACTGCTGCACGTGAAAACCAATTTTTTGTAATTCATGTGCCTGCTACCACTGAAAGAAAGAACAGGATATTTGCCCAATATTCCAACCCTATTCCTTTCTCAAGCAGCATTCATCCGTTTGATGTTTGTGGTATCGTGCTGTGCATAGCCTATTTGGTGTGGTATTCAACATAACAGTAACTGCACTTCCAAGGTAATTGATCTTTGCAAAGGGTTTTGGAATGTACTGAAGGTGTGATAACCTAACAATAAACCAATGTAAAACAACATTATCATTGGATAGTTTCCATTCTTTTGATCATTGTAAATTGCTGTGCCTGGGTTGGTGGGAGTGATAGCACAGAAAAAAACATAGAGGGGCAGAGTGCCACACTGAATTTGGGTCACCTGTTTATTATACCCTGATATTACACTCTCTGGAATCACATCATCTTATTGAAAAGATATATCAAATTGAAACTTAAATAAGTCATTATGAAATAGCATTGCTACAGGCCTATTGGCACCAATTCATGCTCTGAGGAAAACGGCAATGACTATGTATTTTGATGCTGAGAGAGTATTTTCAAGTGCAACAAGCTCTGTAGCCTTTAACATCCTCAGGCTCCATTCCCTGTCTATACAAATTTATCTGCTGTAGCTTCAGTAACTGAAATGGGTCTCAGCATTTCTGGTCTAAGAAAAAACTGCAAGGATTCCCATTGTTTGATGCCCATATTTTGAAAAATATAGAAAGACAGAAGTCACACGACACCAGGTTACAGTCCAACATGTTTATTTGAAATCACAAGCTTTCGGAGTGCAGCCCCTTCATCAGGTGATTTGACCTGACAAAGGGGCTATGCTCTGAAAGCTTGTGATTTCAAATAAATGTATTGGATTATAACCTGGTGCCATGTGACTTCTGACTTTGTCCACCCCAGTCCAACACTGGCACCTCCACATCTTGAAAAATGTAAGTCGATGAGAAGAAGACAGTAGGTCTGGCAGCATCTGTGAAGAAAAAAAATTAGTGTTAACATTTCGGAACTGGTGACCTTTCTTCAGAATCGTTCTGCGGAAGACTCACTGGAACCGAAACGTTAACTCTGACTTTTACTGCACAGATGCTGCCAAACCTGCTGAGCTTTTACTGCAACTTCAGTTTTTGTTCCTGATTTACAGCATCCGCAGTTCTTTCAGTTTTTATTTAAGAAGAGGACAGTATTGGTTTTGGCTGTATGGCTGAATAGCCTCCAGCCACTTGCTGTTTCAGCTTCTGTACAAAGAGTGTGTGAGAGGATGATTGACATCTGTGGAATGCAACCATAGCAGGAAGAGGAGCAGGACAGAACAGGATAATCTATGAATAACAGGAGGATGGAACTATAACCTACCCCTATGTCTCTATTTATAAAACCAAACATTCCATATTCAGGAAAGTGTTTTGTTTCTGCAACCGTTACCACTGCCTTTGTACTTTGTTCTATGCATCTTTGATCTTTACTCTCCCTTGTCCTTTAACCTTTCTTTGACTTTCCCTTTCATTCCACTTGCCCTTCTCCACCCCTGCCCTTTTACAACAGTCTATAAAAAAACATAATTTTTCCTCCTCTCTTCAGTTCTGAAGAAGTCATATTGAACTCAAAGCATTCTCTTTATGTATCCCACTGATGCTGCCAGCCCTGCCGAGTTCCTCCAGCACTTTGTTTTTATTTCAAGGATTCTACATTCTTTTTTAATAGCTATATCCATTATCCTGCCATTTTCAATGATCCAATGCTTCAGATTGCAATACTAGGGATCAGGCATTAATTTTATTTTGAATAGATGCCTCAAACTGACAGATTCACATTTTAATAGAACTGTAATGATTGTGAATCCCCAAGTCTTTGTGATGTTATATGGCAGTAAATAAACCAAATTTCCTGATAAACAATTGTGTTTTAATATCTTTCTTTTTGGATATTTGCTCTGGAGACATGTTGTTGTGAACACATGTTGTGAAGGCATTATATAAATTATATTTATCTAGAACATATGTATTGCACATAATCCCCATAAGAATTGCTCTTCCTGTTAAACGTTACCTATTGCACTCCATTACTAACGCCTCAAGCATTGCAGAACAGCCTATCCTCATGTCTCACCATGTATAGAGTCACCAGGCTTCAGTTACTTTATAAATGCTTGTTTGTCAGATCACTTTTCTCCTGTCATACTTTGAGCACTGGCATATTTCTGATTTTTAAAATTCTTGGAGCTGAGGGAAGTAAAATTCTAAAATATAGATCAGAGCTAGCGAAAGTGCCAATGACAACGTAAAAAACCAAGTAAACAAATGAACAATCTCTAGGATGGGTCCCAAATGCTTTTTGAAAAACCTTCCACCTGTCATCTCAGTTTCCAAACTAAACTGATGACTAATGAATGAACACAGGTCAATAATAAACTAAGACATAAACAAATGACATTTACAAGGAAATTAGTAAATAGTGTTAGTTAGCTGTGGCTCAGACAGTGGTACCCTCATTTCTGAGCCAGAAAGTTGTGATTCAAGGCTTGGAGCTTTAAATCAAGGGCTATGCTGCAGTGCTGAAAGAATGCTGCATTGCAAGAGAGGCCATAATTTGGAAGAATTGCTAAACTGAACTGCTTTTTGAGATTTCTGATGATTCTTTGCTGAATTGACACTGGATAATCAGGAGCAAATGTGCCCCCAGCAATGGTATTTAGTAAGGATGTTTTTTAAGGGAGATGTATGTTCATGAAAAAAGAGACATTGGAGTTTATGTTCATATATTATTGAAGGTGGCAGGAAAAGCTGACAAAACTGACAAAAAGAAGTGATTCCTCTCTTTATAATTAGAGGCATAGATTATAAAAAGGACTTCACCATCCTGTCTTTTCCCCATATCACTTGATTCCTTTAATGATTAAATATCTGCCTCAGCCTTGAATATGTTTAATGACACAGCCTCCACCCCTCTATGGTAAAGCATTTTACAGATTTACTTCTCTCTGAGAGAATAAATTCCTCCCTGTCTCTGTCTTAAATCAATGACCCCTTCCTCTGAGATTATTCCCTCTGGTCCTTGACTCTCCCACAAGGAGAAACAACCCCTTGTCATCTAACCTGTCAAAGCCTCTAAAGAATCTTGTATGTTTCAACAAAGTCAGCTCTCATTCTTCCAAACTTCAACAACTAAAGGCCCAAACGACTCAACCTTTCCTCCATACCCAGGATAAACCTAGTTAATGTTCCCTGGACTGCCTCAAATACCTTTGGGGGAGGGATGGCATAGTGGTAATGTTGCCGGGCTGGTAATCCAAAGCCCCATGCTAATGAGCTGAGGACATGGGTTTGAATTCCACCGTAGCAGATAGTCACATTTGAATTCAATAAAAATAGTATAAAATGCTAGTCTAATGGAAACCATGTAACCACCATTAATTGGTGTAAAAACCCATCTCGTTCACTAATGTCCTTTGGAGAAGGATTTCTTGGCTGGTCTGGTCTACATGTGACTCTGGACCCACAGCAATGTGATTGACTCTCAGCTGCCCTCTGGGTAGTTAGGGATGGGTAATAAATGTTGGACTAGCCAGCGACACCCATGTCCCATAAATGTATAAAACAAAATAAGGGGACCAAAATTGGTCACAGTAATTTGGATGTGTTCTAACTTGTGCCTTGTATAGTTTTTGGCAAGACTTCCCTATGTTTACACTCCATTCCCTTTGAAATGAGCAATGCACAAAGATCGATGGGTGTCTGTTATGTGAACAAACCAGAAAGGCTGCGTTGTTCTCTTCAGCGCATAGGAGGTTAATAATGGTCTTTAAATTAGGAGGTACAGTATTTTGATAAAGTAAATAAGGATAAACTGTTTCTACTAGATGGCAAGTCATAACCAATGGATGCAGATTTAAGATAATTGGCAAAGAGGAGAAAAATCTATTTTACAAGAAGGTGGAATTTGGACGTGCTTCTTGAAAGGGTATTGAAAGCTGATTCAGTTGAAACTTAAAAAAGGAAATTGGATAAATACTTTTAAAGGAAATATGTACAGGGTTGTGTCATACATTTCGTTACAGGAGCAAGCCATTCAACCCATCAAACCCATCAAACTACTCTCTGGAGAGCAAGTGAGTCAATCCCATTCCCCACCACCCTTATATTCACATTTTCCTGCAAGTTTACTTCCATTAAGTGCTCATCCAGTTTTTTAAAATCATCAATTTCCCTTTCCAGCACCTTTCTGGGCAGTGACTTTCAGGTCGTTAGCAGGCGAACGATGGCTTAGTTGTATCTGTTAATCAGAGACCCATGGCAGATGGTGAAATTTGAATTCAATAAAAATCTGGAATTAAGATGACCATAAAACCGTTGTAAATTGTTAGGAAAGATCCATCTGGTTCGCTAGTGACATTTAGGGAAGAAAACTACCATCCTTACGTGGTCTGGACTATATGTGACTCCAGACCCACAGGAATGTGGTTGGTTCTTAACTGTCCTCTGGGATGGACAATAAATGTTGGCCTAGCCAGTGACATCCTCATCCTGTGAATCAATAAAATACTGTATAAAATGTTCTTCCTGACATACTACCTGTACCTTTTGAAATAGTCCTTAGACCATCCAATCTTATCTTGCTTTTATTGCTAGCGTTTCTTTGTCTACCTTATCTAAACCCTGCCATGATCTAGTACACCTCCAAAAATCTCCCCTCTTGTTTGTTCTGAGGTGTATAATTCCAGATTCTCCAACTTGTAGATTGTAGCTAAAATCCCTCATCCTAGAACCATTCTACTCAGTATGCCCTCAGGAATCCTGAGATCTTTTCTAAAATGTGGTGACCGGAACTGGATGCAATACTCTAGCTGTGGCCTAACTAGAACTTGACAAAAGCCCAGCATTTGTACAACAGAAAGTGTCACTCAACCCAAGACGTTAACTTTGATTTCTCTCCACAGATGTTAACAGACCTGCTGAGCTTTTCCAGCAATTTCTGTTTTCATTTCTGATGGTCAGCATCCTCAGTTCTTTCGGTTTTTACTCTTTCAGTTTGTCCTGCCACCTTCAAAGATCAAGGCATCGAAACCCCAGCTTCCTCTATTTCTACCCACTGTTTAAAATTGCACCACTTAGTCTATATTGCCTCTTCCTTTTCCTTCTGCAAAAATGTATCTTCTGACACTTCTGTATACTAAATTCCACCCGCCACTTGACTGTCTATTCTGCTGCAGTGCATCAGTCTCATCCTTTCTGTTTGCTGCAGCTTCAAATTTAGCATCTTGGAAAAATGTTCAGTAAATTTTGAAATTTTACACTTTATTTCAATATCAAAATCATATATATTATTTATACCTGTAAAAGAGGCACTGAAGTTACATGTGGATGAGTTAGGAAGTGTAATTATTTTAATTGTTGCGTCAAAATTCTGTAACTCCGTCCCTAATGGCAATGTGGATCTACCTCAGTTACATGGATGGCAGCGGTTGAAGAAAGCAATTCATCGTTACCTTCTCAAGGACAATTAGGGATGGGCAATAAAAGCTGGCCCAGTCAGCGATGCCTGTGTCCCATGAGTGAATATTTTTCATAATTGACCTGTTGAAATATGCTGTGACACAGGAGCAGGTGTGGCTTGAACCTGGATCTTCTGGCTCAGAGATAGGCACACTACCACTGCACTACAACAGCCCTCAAGTTAATGGGTGTATAGTTCTGAGGAAGGGTCACTCGACCCAAAATGTTAACTCTGATTTCTCTCCACAGATGCTGCCAGACCTGCTGACGTTTCCAGTCATTTCTATCTTTGTCGTAGGTGTATGTATGCTTCTAATGTTTCACTCCACAAGTAAGTATGAGATAAAGAAAGATTGGCTCCAGTATCTATAAAACTGTATAAAATGTTCTTCCTGGCATACCCTCTGTACCTTTTGAAATAGTCCTTAGACCATCCAATCTTATCTCGCTTTTATTGCTAGCGTTTCTTTGTCTACCTTATCTAAACCTGCCTTCCTGCTCCTATGATGCTGCTTGGCCTGCTGTGTTCATCCAGCTCTACAAATTGTTATCTCATGATCTAGTACATCCTTCACCAACTGGCTTTCTGAACTATAGCATTTGTTGCTGTTGCGTAAGTAATCATAGAGAACAAGAGCTAAAAAGAAAATCCAGTTTGGACCCTGAGATATACAAGTGCACTTCAACTTGAAAACTTTTCCCTTGTTAACAAAAATAAAACTTTAATTGCCCTCAATGTTGTATTTCTTTATGGGAATTAGACTTTGAGCCTTCAAAGGGGCAGACCAAATAAGTTCCACTTTAACAGCAGACTAAGGCATTCAGCTTTGCATGGTCCAATGGCTCTGTCATTAGAAAATAGCATATTATCCTGTAAGCAATTCAAAGCACATCTGCTGGTAGGATTATGTTATCTTTCTTTTGTTTAAGCTTTGCCTCATTGTCACTGCACTCTGCTGGTCATATTTTAAAACTGCACTTTAAGTGGAATAAGAAACCTTGTGAGAATACCACTCCTGCTGGAGCAGAAGCATTAAACATCTTTATTTTATGCAACGTTTTAATCCATTAGTGATTCATTTAAATCTGTTGACAATGTGATACCTGAAATTAAACCTTATTACTTTCTGTTTTGTTGTGGTATATTTAAATGGTCTGTCTTATTTTTTGCACACTTCAAACATGACCAATATATACCTTTCTCATTCTAATGTGGAAGAAATTCCAGCCATTTCAAACCTTTGTCTCAAAAAAGTCAACGAAAAATAAAAATATTTTAAAAACACTTCAGGGAAAGCATTGCCTTGGCTTCCAAAGTTCTGACCCAAGATGTAGCAATAATGTGATGGGAAATGCGTGAAACATTTGTCCATAATGCAAGAGAGAGAATTAAGGCAAATGCTTTGATCATAGGCAGTCTGTCACAGAAGCCTTTGAGTGACTGGTTCCCAGACAAGCCCTCTTCTGAGGCCAAGAAAATTGAAATTGTTAGACCAGGAAATTTCAGGGAAGTGAATAGAGATATCAATTGTTATTTTCAGTAAGGAATGAAGATGGTGTGGGAAGGGGAAATAAAATTTTACCTTCACTAGCAGAACCCTAAAAGGTTAATGGCTCAGCCTGAACCAGCAGCAACTCACATCCACAAAAAAGTGGATCTGTCCGGTCGGGGCTCCTGCACACTGCAAATGTGGGATTCTTTTTGATTTCGATTTGATTTGATTTATTATTGTAACATGTATCTAAGTACAATGAAAACTTTTTTTTACATGCCGTACAGGCAGATCATTACCATACAAAGATCATAGGGTGATTGAACAGAGTGAGGAATACAAAGTTACAGTTGCAGAGAAGGTGCTCAAAAAGCAAGTGCAACATTAGATTTGAAAGAGCAGGATACTTTTGTTAAACAACAGAAGGCAATCATACTACACTAGCCACACTAAGGTTGATCTCACAAAACAGCAGCAGCTTACACAGAAATTGTAACATACGAACAAGCTGTTGGGGTTAACCATTTGGCCTTTGTCCACCTGAAATAACAGCACAGAGGTCAGGTCCCTCATCAAGTCACCCTTTATTTACTAGTGCACAGTACACTGGTTGTAGCCAGCCAGCTCACAGTCCTCCACTGAGGAGATTCTAATCTTTTGGTCATATTAGTCAGCTATGGCTTCCCTGATTGGGCCAGGTTAACGACCCTGATCAAGAACCTTGTAATTAATGAGGTCAACCTGGTCCCAATCACTTCACCTCCACAGCAGCAGGTATCTGAACCTAATCTCGTACATTTCCAAATGCCTGTAGTTCCATATCATTCAACCAACCATCTGACTTATTCTTGAATGCTGACATGGTCTTTCCTGCTGTTGCAGATCTCAACACATCTCAGGTGACCCTTCATGAAGTGCTGCGTAAGGCATAAGATGTAGGAATAGAAGTGGGCCATTCAGTCCATCAGGTCTGGTCCATCATTCTATGAGATCATGCCTGATCTGATAATCCTCAACTCCAACTTTCGGCCTTTTCCCCACAACCTTTGATTGCATTTAGCTAGGTTTTTTTTAATTCATGCACAAAGACACCCAAGTCCCTTTGTGCTGCTGCTTTTTGCAGTATTTATCCATTTAAATAAGATGCAACTCCTTTATTCTTCCTGCCAAAGTGAATAACCTCACATTTTCTCTCATTATATTTCATCTGGCAAGTTTTTGCCCGCTCACTATATATCTGTATTCCTGCAGAGATTCTTTGTATCATCCTCACCACGGACCATTCCACCAAACTTGGAGACAGTACATTTTTTTCCTCACCCGATTCTTAATATATAAACTGTGGCCTGAGCACTGACACCCATGGTACATCAGTAGTTACAGGTTGTCATCCTGAAAATGCCCCCTTCATTCCCACTCTGTCTACTATTAGTTCGTCAATCCTCTACCTTGCTAAAATACTATTTCCAACAGCATGGCTCTTATTAAATAGTTTTATGTGTGGTACTATTTTCAAAATGCAAACCACTATATGACAGTATAACTACTGTCTGTGGGTCTAGAAACTACTGCCACAAGTGTCTTATTTCCCTTGTTGTTTCTTACCTCCAACCATATGGATTCTACATCTTCTGGTTCAAGATGATTTCTTGCTGTCATACTTCTTCCAATCCATACTAACAAAGCTGCCCTCCACCCTTTACTTTCTGCCGACTTTCACTTGCTGATTGTCACGATTAGCAGCTGTTCTTTCTCCCTGGCTTACCATTATTCACCCCTTTGTCTGTCTATCTTTCTCTGGCACTGGGTTGTCTCCACCTATCGCTCTCTCCTTTATGTCCCACCCTCTGACTTCAGCATATATGCCACCTTTTCCTAGCTACCATCAGTTGTGAAGAAGGGTCCCTGGACCCGAAACATTAACCTTGCTTTCTCTTCACAGATGCTGCCAGACGTGCTGATTTTCTCTAGCAATTTCTGTCTTTGTTTCAGGTTTCAGGTTTCCAAAAGCATAGGTTCTTGGTTTTATTTCACTCGGGAATAGATTATCCAGTAACAAACTACCTCATTTGTATTTTATGAGTTTGCTGTGTGCAAATTGGCTCCTGCATTTCATTCATTACGACAGACTACTGGATCAGAGGTGCTTAACTCCATACATCTTTGCGACAATAATTCAGAGACAAATAACTTCATGTAGAAAAGGAGAGAAAACTAAAAGTAAATCATGGTTTGAAGATGAAAATTACGCCCGTTAGAGTTAGGATAATCAATCCTAGAAGTTTATTACACAATCCCTCTTGTAGTGGCCATGTGACACCTCCATCTTGTGACACAACATCTTACCATGGTGATTACAAAGGCAACAGACTTTGGATGGATCTCAATTGTCAGTCAAACACACCACCATTCTCCCACCTTCGTTTCGAGTATCTTCAGAACTAATAAGTCAGTTTAAACACAAAATCCTTGTATTATTTTTGTTCCAATATTACTACAGCAGTGTTATGTAGATTAATTTTTAATTCCAGAAGAATCCAGGACAATCCAGAAGGGTTGTCATTCCCAGCTAAGAGTTTCGAAAGAATCCGTGAGCACAATATATGTGCAGCACTTCCACGTATCCCCACAAGAGGCCCTCATAAGACCTCAGGAGACTCATCCCTATTGAAGACTAGTCCATAGTGGAAGATGTAAGGGACAACAGCAAAATCAATCCAGAAAATAATACAGCAGTAAAGTACTTTTGTTTTTTTCACTTGCAAAATCAATTTGTAATTTGGGATCAAAGATGGCAGAATCATATCAGATGCAAACTGGATGGCAGGAGAGGGGTGTAAAGGTGTGGGGTGGGAACAGTGGTATAGGAGAGAATTCATGCAAGGCATGGAGTGGGGAATGGGAATGGTAGGGGAAGAAGGTGTGAGGTGAGGATAACATGACATGGGAAGAAAGGAATGGGTGTGGCACAAGGGCTGGAATTGTATAGAATGGAGATATTTAGAACTAAGGTTTCAATAATGATATTAATTTGACTGAAAATATTTTCTAGGTCACTGATATAAAAAGGCTACCTTCGTCAGGAACATATGTTTTGTAAATCTGAGCATTTGGAGGACATGGAACAATTGTGTAATTTTCATTACATGCATTTGTGGGCAATTGCATCACTGCAGAATTGAAAAATGTGCTTTCTGTTAATTTCACCATTAATAGTATGGACTGTGAGTGCCAGCATGCTGTTCAGATGACACTCTTTGGTCTGCCCGAAACCTGTTGATCTTCCAGAGCAAGGAGTTGACCTTGACCAAGTGTCGTAGACTGGCGCATTCCAAGGACCAGGGCTACATGCTGAGGGAAGCACTAAGCTTGGTGCAGTGGGGAAAAACCACCATCTAAGATATTTCTGCTGGTTAAATGGGAGCCTGTTCAGTTATTGGAACAGGCTCCCATTTAACCCACTCCCACACACCCCTTGCGCCCCCCTTGCCCCCCATCCCCAGTGCCTCAAATATATGCCTTTGGTTTGTTTTGTTAAAAAGAGTCAAAACTCCAATGTTTGTTTCTCCGTATGCTTCTGTACAGGACAGAACTGCTTTAATAACTATGTATGTATAGAAAGATATTTTTAAGAATAAAGTATGTCTTTGAAACAAAAATAAAGCTGAGCAGGACGGTCTGAGTTGTACAACCACACACTGGATGATTTTTCCTCTTGCTAGCTCAGAGGTGCAGCAGCCCCAACTTAGCTCAAAATAGGAACTGAACCTCTATGGTTTTGTTCTTGAAGTAGCACCTCAGAACAGAGGATGACTTTCTCCCAGTCTGCAGTTTTGGGTCCTAAGATGACAAAGGCTGGATCCACACAATCTATTATAGGTGGTCCATGGCTTCCACACGCTGTTCTGCTGTTTGCATTTGGCCTGTACCTGGGGTTTGTTTGAGGTACTCAAGATGGTTGGCTCATTCGCAGATGTTTCTTCAGTTCAAGCAGTGTAGGCAAGAGACGCCCACATTCTTTTCAGGAAGGCTTGAGGATTTTGAAGCATTTCTTATGTCCTCCCGGTAGCTGATTGTCTTGGCAAAAGTCAGAATGGAGAACTGAGCCCAATATAACTGATTGATCATAACTTGCTTGGCACGTTAGACAGAGGGAGGACACTGAGTGCTTATTCTGCCATTGGTGTTGAAGAATTTTGCAGAAGCAAAACTGGTGATAATTCTCTAGAGATTTGAAGTGCCTGCTGTACATTGTCCATGTCTCTGATACATACAGAAAGGCAGGTAACAAGGTCGTCCTTTAGATCACGAGTTGATCCTAGGTTTGAGGTCCTTGTCATCACTCAATTCCTCTGATAGCACAGGCTCTGTTGCATACTGGTGGCAATGTTGAGTTTCATAGTGAAGGAGGCTCCCAAAGTATAAGAATTGATCCACACTGTCCAGTGGCGAGCTGTGGATCTGAATTGGTGGGGGAGTCCTTGCATAGTAGGAGCAGACTGGTAGAGATCTTTGTTTTCTTGCCGAGCCTAAGGCCCATTCCCTCTATGCCTTGGTGAATGCTGTGATTGACGATGGTACAGAACTTGGCTGGTGAGTGTGTATACATACAAGCTGCAGCTTCAGAGTTTGAGATGGATTCTAGACTGTAAGCAACACAGGCTGAATAATTTTCTGCCTCATCCTGTACAGAAGCTCCACTCCAGGGGAACTTCATTGATATAGGGCAGATTGTTTGGGAATTGGGAAATGGAGAATGATGTCAGTGGAATCACACAGCCCGATTTGACCCCAGTTTGCACTTGTCTATATGGATTCATTTTTAAAATATTTTTTAATCAACCTGTTCAGAGATGATATCACACACCTCTGGAACAGCTGGGACTTGAACTCCAGCCTCCTGGCTTAGAGGCAGGGACATTACCACTGCACCACAAGAGCCACGTTGTGGTAGATCCATCAGTGAACATCAAAGCTTGCATGTCATTGCGCAGCAGGCAGAGGATGGTGACAAGTTCTTGTGGGCATCCAAATTGAGGAAGATACTTTAGAATGCCTACAGAATCAGAGGTATTTGTAAGGGCAAAGAAGGCCATATAAAGAGGCTGCTGCTGCTCTGCGCACTTTTCTTGGGCTTGTCTTACTGTGAAGATCATGTCCACTGTGCTTCTGTTATTTGATTCATTCACAGGATGTGGGAGTTGCTGGCTAGGCTAGCATTACTGCCCATTCCTAATTACCCAGTTAAGAGTCAATCACATTGCTGCAGGTCTGGAGTCACATGTAGAGCAAATGGGGTAAGGATGGGAGTTTCCTTCCCTAAAAAGCATTAGTGAACCATGGATTATTGATAGACAGAAGACACATTGTGCCTCCAGAAGGAACTCTTCAGCCAATGAGTGGAGGCAATTGAGGAGGATTCTTGCAATAACTCCCACTGTTGTGAACAGCAGTGAGTATGCCATGTAGTTGCTGCAAATGTTCTTATCCTGTTTCTTGAAAATAGTCACAACTATGGCATAGCAGAGATCTGTTGCCATTCCCTCCTCCGTCCAGATGAGATCATGCATTCATGTCAAGAGTGCTCCTTCACTATATTTCAGTATCTTGATAAGGATTCTGACTGCACCAGTGGCCTTGTTGATTCTCAGCTATCAGGTGGCATTTTCTACCTTAGGTTGGGCTGGAGTTGGGGTGAGATGCTAGCGGGTAGCATGCTGTGTGATGAGGTTGAGGGCACTCACATCACAGACTAAGTCTGACCTCTCCTCACTGGCACAATAGGCAGCACAGTGGCTCAGTGGTTAGCACTGCTGCCTCATGGTACAGGGACCTGGGTTTGATCCACCCTCTAGCGACTGTCTGTGTGGAGTTTGCACTTTCTCCCTGTCTCTGTGTTGGTTTCCTCCCACAGTCCAGGTTAGGTGGTTAAAAAAAAGTCTGCAACTTTTGGTCATCCAGACCTCTATGCGTGAGAAATGCAGCAGATTTTGAGTGGATCAAATTGATTCTTCAGCACAAGTGCTTTTTATCTAGGTTTGCACCCCTAGTATAATAAGATAGCTTCTTTTTAAATGGTGTGTTTGGTGTTCTGCTATGTTCTTGCTGACAGCATTCTCAGTTCTCTGAGCAGTTAGCTAAATTGGAGACAGATAGCCATTGGCTTTGTTACACTGATTGGCTCAAGCCATTCACAATGGATTCTAATCCTGACTGACATTATATTCAGGTTCAAATGTCTGCACCTTTTATTCATTAAATGAAAAAGATAAAGTTTCTTTCTGAACCCATTCTCAGCAGGGCCATTTCTATTCTGATTGAAGCTGGTAAGGTTAACAATATAATTTATTGGGTCACATTCCAGCTCATTTGTATAACCTGTGAAATAGAATCCTACTCAAAAAGTGGAAAATTAAAGAGTTAATTGAATTATTGCTGCTTGCCCAGTGAAATTGACAGTTCCATTCCAAGCTTCAACCTTCGACCTTTTCCCATAATAATCTCAAGCAAATGAAATAAATGAGCTCTCGGTTTTCCCATTGCAGACATCCAGCCGACCATCCTGTTGAATTCCCAAAGGGGGTTTCAGTAAACAATTCCATTGGAGCCTTGTGATTCAGCAAATACTCCCCACCCCAGCAAGAATTCATTGCCAGGGGCAACAAGATGAGGAAGCCGGATGGTGGGAAACTTCTAACAACCAGGCAAGTACCACTGAACTTCAGCTGATCTTTGAACTACAGGCTTGTGAGGGTTTTTAGTGTTTGGAATTCTTCCTGTGAATGAAAAGCAGCAGGCTGCTTGTCTTTTTTTTGCATAACCAAGAAAATTCCAGCCAATAACAACAATTCACACTTATGCTCTGCATATACAGAGTAAGACTGACAAATGTAGGATTTTCTAGTTAATAATGGTTATGACTGAACCCATAGATACACCACCTGGTGAATACACTACCTGTAGATGATTAGCCCCACCACATACAAGGAACCTGAAGGTCATACAGTCATACAGCTGTACATTATGGAAACAGGCCCTTCGGTCCACTTGTCCATGCCGACCAGATATCCTAAATTAATCTAGTCCCATTTGCCAGCATTTGGCCTATATCCCTCTAAACCCTTCCTATTCATCTACCATCCAGATGCCTTTTCAATGTTGTAATTGTACCAGCCTCCACCAATTCCTCTGGCAGCTCATTCCATACACACAACACCCTCTGTGTGAAAAAATTGCCCCTTAGGTCCTTTTTAAATCATTCCCCTCTTACCTTTAACCTATCCCCTCAAGTTTTGCACTCCCCCACCGCACGGAAAAGACCTTGGTTATTCACCTTATTCCACGATCCTCATGATTTTATAAACATCTATAAGATCACCTCCCAGCCTCCGACGCTCCAGGAATAACAGACCCAGCCTAATCAGCCCTCATTAACATAGGTAATATAGAAATAGCAAGGTGGATTATTATCATAATTGTGGAACATTACACATCTATCTGTCTTGCTAAGACCTGTTAAAACATCATTTTCTAAACAGATGTTTTGGCATTACAAGGTAAATAGATATTAATTAACATGTCAACAAGGTATTTAAGGATGGCGGTTTGTCTGGTGCATTCAATAGTCTGTAGTATTGGCACATGAGGCAATTATAAACCCTTTGAAACAAAAAACTGAAAGCACTGCGGATGCTGGTAATCAGAAACTAAAAGAGAAATTGCTGGAAAAACTCAGCATGTCTGGCAGCATCAAAGAAAGCAGAGTTAATGTTTCGGGACAACAAGGTGCAGAGCTGGATGAACACAGCAGGCCAAGCAGCATCATAGGAGCAGAAAGGCTATGATGCTGCTTGGCCTGC